GTTTCCAAGATTCAACACTAAATTTGAAAAACTTAAAAATTTGATAATAATATAATTTTTATTAATTCATCAATATTCATCATCCACAATATTTAAAAGTTCGTGAAAACAACTAAAAAAAGCTTCTCCATTATGACCAAGCTTTCATAATATGGTGCCACCACCGTCACTTCAATGCTGCACAAAGAATTGCATAGTTGTTAAAATTTGAATAAAGAACTATAAGAATCACTCATATCTGAAAACTCAGAACACAAAACATACTCCAAGCATTCTTAATCCTCAAACTTAAGTGAAACATATATAAATAATTAAACGAAAACAATTGCAATACATGAACTTACCTAAAAACTAGAGTACCGATAACCAACTTAAACATGTGTAAGTCACATATATAAATCTCAAACTAATTAACTATACCCTCCTCACCTTTCATTAAGCATGCACAAGTCATGTCATACATACATACATAAATTTCAAAATTAAGAGCTAAACCACACCATCATGATACTAATTTCAAGATATTATTGAGACATACCTAAATCTCAACTTTAATTCATAACTACACACGTAAGTCTTATACCACCCCCGATAAAGTACCCCTCGCTCTTTGCCATAATTTGTTACATAATATCAACCTCCATATCCATAAACTCAAAATACACAAAACCAATAATGGTCTCATGTACTTAACACAATCCCCCATAATTCTAGACATATACTTAACACAATCCTTGTTAAGAAATCGCCACAAGTTTCTCCCCTACCTTGTGTCATTCCAATAATGGTCTCATCCTTTGTCGATCAAAGTATTTTAGAATTAGTCAATAATATAAATTATAAACAAACATAAACAATATAACATACTACATCAGTAATTTGTCAATATCCAGAGTCATCGATTTACTAACCTCAAATTTCTCTTCAAATTTATTATTCAATCATCGTCCGTGAATGTAAAACTTCAAGTTTGAAAAGTTCAAATTACAATTATGTCATCTTCCTTTCTTGAAAATAAATTTCAAATTAATTTCCTACATATTTCTTCTACTCAAACAAACTTTCAAACTGTTCTTTCTCAAAAATGACTCTTTCTCAAAAATGACTTAGAATAATCTATGCTAAACTTTTTCTAGAAAACTAAAAAGAAAAACAAATCTCAAACTATGCAATAGAAGAATAAAGCACAAAAAATTCATAAAGAGAGTATTCTACCCCATGGTTTCAACATCATATTCATCACAAAAATGGGTACCAAATCCACAAATATGCAAACAAATATCATCATTTTTTACATTGCCTCAACTAATTTTAAAAGGAAAGAAACAAACCTGAGCAAGCACGAGCACGAAATTGAGATTTGAGCAAACCCTAGCAACCACGAACAAAGAAATATATATATATAAAAAAAAGAGATTCTAGCACAAAACAAACTAAATGAAGTTTTAAAAGGAAGAAACTTACCCATGTACTCAACCCGAGCGACTTCCGGCAAGAAAAATGCAAAAAAATGTCCAATATACTTGCGTAGTCTCCGATGGCCGACGAAGAGAGCAGAAAACGCAGAGAGAGGGATGAGAATCGAAAAGGAGAGGAAAAATGGGGAAGAAATTAGGGCTGGGGGATTTTATGGGGCTCGCGACGAAAATTTATTTCGTCGCAAGTCAAAATGATGTCGTTTTGAGTTGGAAACGCGGTCATTCCATTTAACGAATGCGACGAAATCGTTTTTCGTAGCTGATATAAGCGACGAAAATTGCTTTCGTCGCATTTTTTAGCGACAAAATCTCGTTTCGTCGCCTATTTTGCGACGAAATCGATTTTCGTCGCTCATATGCGACGAAAATTATTTCGTCGCTTATCTTTCGTCACTGAATGATACATTTCTTGTAGTGATGGTACAAAATAGACCTAAATAGCACCTCCAAAATTCCAATGTGACTATGAAAAATGTCAACTTGAATATGCCTAAACGGAGTAAGATAGATCAAAAGATCATGAATTTGAGTCCCTCCATCTCCGCCGTAGAAAGAAAAAAAAAAGTATATTGGGAGATTTGGTTTAAAAGTTGTTTGTCATTTAGAAGCCATGTTTTCCTTTCGCTCTCCTTGCTGGGAAGGTTTTTCAATAAGCAAACCCCACTAGGAATCACAAATCCAGTTTTTTCTTCCACCAATATCCAAGGTGATGTATAATTTTATAAAGCAATTTTCTTTCCTTTTTCTTTCTTTTTTGGGAAAGTTGGTTCATCTTTACCTATTAATCAATTTTTCTCTTTAATCTTTTTCATTATTAACATATATAAATTATTGAGTTTGTAAAGGATTACAAATAAAGTTTCGCATGGACTAAAAAAGAGAATAATCCATAATATATGGGTTAAATAAAAAAACAAAGCTATGAGGGTGAGGTTTATGCTCAAAGCGATAATATTATATGATTGTAGAGATACATGGGATATGATGGTACCGTTGTCCCTAAAAGAATATGCTTTAATTGAAATTTTTTTCGAGGATAGGAACTAGTTACAGGGAAAAATATAAATTTTAACTTGAAATTTTCAATTTATCAAAGCAAACTTTTAAACTTGAATTAGGGTTAGAAAAGTAAATATAAATCGTAATGGGGCTCACTTAATGTCATAGGTGCTTAAAAGCATGGGCGTTTAGTTTTTCAAGAGTATTTGGAGGATTTGAAAGCTGGAAAAAAAAAAAAAAAAGAGTTCATGAAATTTAGATCTTTTTTGGAAGATGTAGGTAACAAAGACTTTCAGAATTCTTCCTACTAATGTTTTTTTTTTTTTCAGAAAAAACTAGCACTATGACCTTTTCTTTTTTTTTTTCCGAGAAAAGCATTATGACCTTTCTTGAAAGAATATAGATGGGAAATATTTTAAAGTTTCGAGCAAGACTAGTAGAGTTATGTTCTTTTTTTTCCTTTTCTTTTCTTATGAGATTTTTGTTTTTTTTTTCCTAAAAAAATCTATATGAGAGTTCGTTCTAGGACAGGTCTTATTTATAAAAGTTTTATGGATAATTTTTTAAAAGACCAAAATTCTCTACCACTCAATTTTGAATTCTATTTTTTTTAAAACAAACTTTGAACTCTAATGAAAGAATAAACAAAATTTGTGTTCCATTGTAATATAGAATGGTATCATAGATCTCATGTTCGACCACCTACATCCAATTTGATTTCTTATAAAAAAGACTCATTTAAGTAGTCAATATTACTTAAAATTATTCCATTAACTAAATCTATTATATTGAATAACAAATTAGAAAATAACTTCATGGACTATAAATTTTCAAAATTTAATAGCTTCAAACTAATTAATCAAAAACCTCAATTAATTAATTCCAACCCTTCACCTTCACTATAAACCACTAACTCCACACTCAACACTAACTGAGGGATAAAATTGATAAAAATGTGTTGTCCACTTTATTCTATTAACCATGAATGTGAAAGATGTGAAATCACTCCAATATCATGCATTATTCAAAAGTTTCTACGTCCATATATAGATACATTCATAACCAATAATTTAAATAATGTTAATGAGTGAAATTACCATTCTTATCTTTGCAATTATCTTTTACGATTTCGCCATGAATTACGTTGCCTTGGATTCTCGGGACGGTAAAAAATCAAGTACTCAAATAAAAATCCCAATAAAAAATTAGAAATGTTTAGACAAAAACTTTTGGTTTAGGTCAAAAGAAAAAAAGGAAGAGAAAGGTTGCGCCAATATGGGTAAGTATTTTGAAAATAGATAAAAGGTTAACGCATCCGGTTGGCACCCGACGATGAAAGTTGAGAGACTCACAATAGGTAAATAAATAAAAGTGAAAAAAGAAAAAGAAAGTAATAATTCTGAAAAAGGGAATCCGGGAATGTGGAATTGGATGGGACGTGCCACGTCAGCGATTCGATTTTTTTTCTCCTGCTTTCTCACTTCACTACCAAAATTAATAGTAAATATATGGTAATATGGCCATGTGGAGGCAGTCCCCCTCAACAAATGCAAATAGAATATTCTGCATTCATTCAGCTTTTACTTTTACTTTTACAATTAAAATTAATATTACAATGTGACCAAAATAACCCTCCCAATCACCAACAACACTGCTTGCATGCCTCCCATTGCCTTTGAACATATGTATTATAATATAAATATTGACCGAAAAAAAAAAATTGACGAAGTGTCGGGCTAACAATAGTTTATAATGAACATGAGCTATTCTCTCATTACCAATTACAGTCACAAACATGTACAATCCGATCAAAATCTAGGATTTTGAGATGAAACTCTATAAATATTAATATGATATCAGAATCTAAAACGCTCAAACGAGCATTCCATTAAAAAATGAGTTCCAATCAAGATCGATAGTTAAAAGAGCCACGATCTTGAGGAAGCATGTTAAGAATATCACATTGAAAAGATAAGAGACCTAATAAAGATTTATAATATGTATGAAATACTCCTCCTACTGTCAATTGATTTTAAGATTGAACTGCATAGACATATCCCAAATTCGATTTCTAATACATTAGGATACTCTTTTCAAGTCATTTTCAAAACTTCAAATTATCCCAAGAAACAACTTCAAACATCAAGAGATATGTTGACCTCAAAAGAAAAAGGCAAAAGAAATAAAATAGAAAAGAAGTTGATTTGATCTGTTTCTCCATAGTTTGTTCCTCACCATCACACCATTCACCGCTGAAAAAAAAAGGAAAACGCTGCAACATTTAGTTTATACGCAGACCTTCACACAGTAACACACCAGAACCATAACGTACCACTCAGCTCTGTGCTGTGTACTACTAAATGATGATGATGATGACAATTGACAACCCCCTGCCCTTGCCCCTCACTCCCACCACTGTACACAAACTTTGCCATTGCTTTCCTTAAACTCAGACCATCCTCTCCTTCCGTACAACATTCAACCCAATTCCCACAATATATATATATATATATATATATATATATATATATATATATATATATATTTCATGAACTGAATCCCCCACAGATACAATCCAACAGTACTACTTCCACAGTTGGGTTTCAAATGCTGAGAAGATCAGGTGGTGGGCTTGTTTTGTTTGCTGAATCTAATGCCGCCCCCGGTGGCGGTGACGATGGGGGTAACGGCGGGGATGTTGCTAGTTCGGCTTCTTTTGAGGGGAAATCTGCTTGCTTTGAACTTGGTGGCTTTGGGAATTCTGTGAGGATTTGGACGACTTCTCTCATGGTTGGCCGCTCCACGGCTTGATCTTCCACACACAGCATTGCTACATAGAACAAATGAATTACTTCATTCAGAGGGACTGAGGAGAGCCGTGGATCGATGATTTTTACAACCCCTTCATTGTTGGGGCCAGTCATTTTTCTGACCCATTGGACTATGTCGACCCCATCCCCGAATTCCCCAACGGGCTTCCGCCCACTCACAAGCTCTAACAGTACTACTCCGAAGCTATAAACGTCACTCTTCTCATCGACTTTCAATGTGTAAGCATACTCTGCAAAATCACGCCAAGAGAATGAAATTTATCAAGCTAATCATGTAATTTTCACATCCTAAGTCAAAACCAGACCAGATAATGATCACAACCATATTCTGAGTGTTAAGGTTTAAAATCAAATCAATACCTGGAGCTATGTATCCGTAAGAACCAGCTATAGCGGACATACATTCAGAAGTGCCCGAATCCTGAAGAAACTTGGCAAGCCCAAAATCAGCAACATGAGCTTCATAATCAGAATCCAGAAGTATGTTGTTTGATTTCACATCTCGATGCACAATCAACGGCGAGCAGTCATGATGTAAATAGCAAAGACCTTTAGCAGCTTCAATGGCAATCTTATACCTCGTGTCCCACTGCAAATGCCCTCCTTTCTTGCCATGAAGAACCTCCCCCAAGCTCCCATTCGGCATGTACTCATAAACCAGAAGATTACTTTCATGGTTTGAACAGAACCCCAACAATCTAACAATGTGCCGATGCTTAATCCTCCCCAAAGTCTGAATCTCAGCATTGAATCCATGGTCGTGGGACGACCCACGACCAATTCCCGGTAGCCTTTTCACGGCGACGTGATCACCGCTCGACATGAAACCTTTATACACAATGCCAGCGCCTCCTTTGCCTATAATGTTGTCCTCTTTCAAGCAGTCCAAAATGTCATCTACTGTGAAACCTAATCTTTGGAATGCGGTTAATTTCCAGGCTCGAGACTCGCTCGCTCGTTTTAAGGAACGAGCTTTGATGATGGCTGCAATTGCAAATGCGATTGAGCAGACGAGCAGGACAATGACAAGCAAAAGCTTCACGGAAGCAGAGAGAGAGCCTTTTAAATGAGGCTGTTGGGTGCCATTGACGACCCCATTTTTGCAAGGTCCTAAGTATGGGCCGCAGAGATCTGGGTTTCCGAGAAACGACGTGTAGTTGAAGTAGCTGAACTGGCCGGTGCCAGGGACCAAACCAGAGAGATTGTTGTATGAAAAATCTACGGATGTTAAGCTTTGCATTGAAGATATTGAAGGGGGAACGTTGCCAATTAAATGGTTCCTTGAGAGATTCAGATAATTCAATATCCTCATAGTGGTGATTTCATTGGGAATTTCACCGGAGAGGTCGTTACGGCTGAGATCAACGAAGGTCAGGAGCCTGCATTGGCCGATCTCCGGCGCTATTGGGCCAGATAATTTGTTGTGGCTGAAATCAATCTTCGAGAGCTGCTGTAAACGCCCTATTTCGGGTGGGATTCGGCCGGAGAACTGGTTCCCATCTAGCAGGAGCTTCTGGACACCGGAGAAATTTCCGACCGTCGGTGGTAAGGACCCCGAGAGCTGATTGTTCGAGAGACTAATTTGGCCGAGATTGGCAGAGATGGAACCCGTAACTGGAAATTCTCCGGTGAGAAAATTGTTCTGCAATTCGACCTGAGATAGATTGGGCAAACCGAAAAGACCTTTGGGGATCGAACCATTGAGAAAATTCTCCCCCATACGAATACGGCTCAGCGACTCGCATCTACCGAGAGATTCAGGGATTGGACCGAACAAGAAGTTGCCGAGGGTAATCAAAGTCTGAAGTCGATTTCCACGGCACATATCGGGAGGTAAAGTTCCAGTCAATTTATTCGAAGAAATGTCAAGAACAGCAAGCCTCCCATTCTTCCCCAGACTATAGGGAATGGAGCCAGTGAAGTTATTTTCCCACAACTGCAGTACTTCCAGCTCCGGCAAGTCACCGATGAACTGTGGAATAGCTCCATGAAGCTTATTCCTGAAAAGATGCAAAAGCGTCAAGTTCTTCAGTTGAGAGAATGAGTCCGGAATCTCACCGACAAGAATGTTGTTGGACAAATCCATGGATTTCAAGCCCTTTAAGCTCCCGAGCTCTGGAATCAAAGGTCCAGATAAACCGTTCACCTGAAGAAACAGAGTATCCAGTTTCTGAAGTTTCCCGAGTTCACGGGGAATCTCACCCGTTAATCCACAGTTCGCAGCATCCAATCGAACCAGTTCCGATAAGTTTCCGATCTCCGGCGGTAAACCGCCGTCATAGGTGTTGTAATACCCAATGTAAAGTTCACGAAGCGTCGTTAGATTACCAATCTCCGGCGGTATTGGACCTTGAAGCTCGTTTCCAGATACCCCCAAGTACTCCATGAACTGCCACCGTCCAAACTCCGGTGGAATCACGCCGGAGAAGAAGTTCCCGCCGAGATGCAAATGGCGGAGATTCGGCAACTCGATGACCACAAGCGGCAAGCTCCCGGACATATTGTTGTTATACAAATCGAGAACCTGCAGATTCTTGAGCAGCGAGAGTTCAGAGGGGAATGTACCGTTAATAATATTGTTAGAGACGTTGAGGCATTTAAGCGTAGATATGGCAGAGATCTCCGGCGGAATCGGGCCGGAAATCTGATTATCCGCGACGGAAAAATTGGTGAGGAATCGAAGATTGGCAAGGTCAGGAGACAGAGTACCGGAGAGGTTCATCCCGGAGAGGTCGAGGCCGATGACATGCCGGCGGGAATCGCAGGTGACGCCCGTCCAGGTGCAGTGGGCGGTGGCGGCGTCCCAAGTGGAGAGCGCGGATCTGGAATCATCGGAAACGGAGCTCTTCTGGGAGAGAAGCGCGCGGTATTCGGGGAGGTGAGCAGAAATGGAGTGGTGGAAATGGAGGTGAAGAAGGAGAAAGAGAAGCAGAAGAAGAAGCGGCATTTCAATGGCGGTCAGTGGCTGTCTCTGGTGTGGCCAATGGATTTGAAAAAACGGTGAGAAAGAAGAGAAAGGGCTGTGAGCTGTTACTTCTTACTGATTTTATCTTCCAATCATTTTTTTTTTTATAGAATGAAAATGAAATTCAATTTTTATTTTATTTTATCTTCTCCTTTGTCTTTCTTTCTCTTTTTTCATATATATATAATTTTATTTTGTGTAATTATTTATATTTGTTTTGTTGCGATTTAATCACAAAAGGTACTTCGCGATAACTACTGCTTTTAATAGCTTCATTTCACCTTCACTTTGGACTCTTCTTTGGCCTTGCCAATTGCCATGGCTTCAACTTCAAGAAACTCTTTTTCCTTCTTTTTTTTTTTAAATTATTTTTCCTTTTTTAAATTTATATTATATTAGTTTTTGGACCCAATTTTGTTGGGTATTTGGTTGGTGCAACTAATTTCACTTAGAGGGTTGGTTTGAGTAAAATATTTGAAAATGAAAAAAATATATATATGATAGATGAATATATTTAGGAAGGGAGGATATGTGTGTGTTTTGATTGGTATGGAAAACAAGTTTTGTGTGCTTGGAAATAAAAGCTATACCGGTTTGTTTTTTAACTTAGGATTCGAATAGTGTGACATGCATGAGAATTAATTTTTAGCTATAGGTCTACACAAACATATAATATAATCCACTATAGTCAATATTGTATTGATTCGCAACCTTACCTGATTTTGTTTACATCCTCTCCTAAGTAAAGTCATAACTTTGAAGCTCATAATTTTTCCTAGACACCTCTGAGGCTAAAGCTATACAAAAATTTAACCCAACAGGTTATAGATATGGATCAAAGTCATGTTAAATCATTACCTAAAATTACAAAAGCTATTAATTACCAAAGATTTCCTTATGTCTCATCTCAAAATCTTTTCTAAATTACTTTGCTTGAGAACCGCTTCAAAACCTTTTTTTTCTGCTCTCTGTCAAAAAAAAAAAAAAAGAAAAAAAATTCATTGGATGCTTTTTGACTTGAATGCTGCTTGGACAGTTAAACCCTTATGTCTTTTTTATAAAGATGCCACCTAATTTCTAATTAAATGTTGATTTGTTGAATGTAAGTTATTTGAACTTCTAATTTTAATGAAAAAGGATATATGTCTACTTCTTATTTATACTTTGCTAGCTACTCAATTAGAGCTTCTTTTTATTATTATTATTTTAATATATACCGAATCTTGACCCGTTTTTGCAAGTGAATAAAATTCCATTGTATTAGATTTGTTAGGGAAAGTGTTAGGATGCAAAAAATTATTTTTAGTGCGGGATACAAATTTTTTGAGTTGCATATTTTAGTAGGAAAATAAGAATACATAACTCTAACTTATATAAGCATTACTCAATTGATACATATATATATCATCGACTAAACTATTTTGAAATTTTAAATTTCAACTCCCACATGCGGTAGAACTCAAAAAATATGTATGCATAACCTTATATGTTAGATATTTTAAAACTAATTAATACGTATCTAAGTGAAATTATAAAATTTCAACCATAAAATTTCAACCTTTAAAAAGGTAAGTCATACTTGATTAGCTGAGTTATGTATTGTTGATTTTTGTTGTTTATTGAAATGTTAAAAGATTATTGGGAGTGCAGTTAATTCTAAGTCAAATTTGTTGTTTTTTTATTTTTGGCCTAATCAAGCTTATTATTAGATTAAGAAACAGAAGAAAAAGTTCCTACTTGGAATTCTTAGTAAATATATTTGTTGCCACTACTAAATTTCACATTGTTAGCACAATAATTTCAACTCCCAATACTTGGTTAGAACTGGATGCTTACTTGTGTGTTGTGTGTCATGAAAGTTGTATTAAAATATAACAATTATAAAGTTCTTCTATTCTAAGATTGTGTAAAACATATGAAGAGATTAGATAGAGATTAAATTAATTAATCCATAAAGTTTCACACACACCTCCCCTTGAGCCAACTTCCCAACAAACATTGTCCTCCAAAATCATTAGTCAAATCATCACAAACTTGGACAGAAACAAGTACATTTTGGGCAACATAATGTGTAAAATGTACTTTTGTATCAAATGAAGCATAAACATGGCCACATTATTATAATAAATGGCAGCCATTTGTTATATAATGAGTTTGCATTTTGTGGGGTGCACTCTATGCTAGCTAGTACAGAATATATGTACCCATCTTTAAATTTCACACTGCTTTCTATAATAAGTATATGCCTCTTGTTGGTAATTCAGTTTGTCCAAAACTATGGTTGAGATAGTCAGTTTCTTTATATTTTTTACAATTATAGTATACATTATACATTTTGAGTGCTTTTAATTATATTTTATCTAAAATATGTTTCATATTAATAGAGTCTTTGTATTTGATTATATATTAAAGATCTTCCCGGCCTTTGATAGGATCGATGTGATTATGTTCGTATCCTAAGAGATTCAATTTTCATCGACATGACACATTTCTATGTATCTACGGATTTGACATCAAAATGGGTAAATCAACCTTTCTAAAAAATAATCAACAAATTATGAAGATATCAATAAAATATAATTAATATAGATATAATATTGGAATTAATTATTTTTAGTCTGTAATACTCTACACGTGCACATCCTCTCCCTTATTAATTTTTTAAGCAAATCTTTTTTTCTCTATGTATAATACACAGAAAAAAGGATTAGCTATACATATATACACACACTTATTTTTATATTCATACGTTGTTGTTATTTTAGAGATATATCTCTCTTCACACATACTCTCTTATTAAATTTCTCAATTAATATAATTCTCTCAAATTAATATTTACCTGTAAATTAACTCTCTCACTAACTTCTATTGATATACAATAAAAAAAAAAAATTAAGTAAATATATAGTATTCCTCGTTCTAAAGAATGGTATGCAAGTACAAGATAAGATCGAGCAAGAGAGAAAATGAATATTGTTTCGAAGTACACCATAATTAATTAGAGGTGTCTGTAAGGTAGCCGAGTGAAATTTTCTTATCATGTAATATAGTTTATATGACGTCCGACTAGAGATGAGGGGTACATGAATGAACCGATACCACATCCGAATGAGAGAGATCTTGAGACCATGGAAGAATAGTTAAGAAAAGACTTAAAAGAATCGATAGTTACTACCTATACTAACAAATGCACCTTCATTTTTAGTAACTCAATCGTAATAACTCCAAAGTTAAGCGCTCTTGACTTAAAGAAATCTTCGACTTGGTGACCTGCTAGTTGCTTCAATCAATTCTTTTGATATATTTAATCAATCGATTAAAATTTAAGAAACAAATGTCAATTTAATTTACTTGGGGCACGACCATATTAAAAAAATTGCAATTTCATTAATGTTTGGTAAAATGTGACAAAAAAAAAAACTCGTTTCTAAAATTCCTTCAAAGCTGATGTTAGAGAGGTAAAAATAATAATTTATATATGAAGCTTTATGGTATACCTACCCTCGGTGGAAAGAAAGTCATTATAGTAAAAAAGAATCAATGGTCATCAGTGGCACGAAATTAATGATCATCAAGATGAAATTCACTTCAACAACTCACGTATTATAAAACCACAAGATCTCAATTAAAGACTTAGTCATTAACAAAAGTTTTCCTATATTGAAACATCTAGTATATGATTGAGTAAAAAGTTATTATCTCCAGCCAAAATAGTTTTCGTGATCGTCAAAGTTTCAAACATTTTACTTAAATCTCACCAAAATCCCTTATCTTACAAGCACACGAGCAAGTAGATGTTTCAATCCAACTTCTCGAAATGGCAGAACTTTTTTTTGAAGATAACTGCAAAATATTTAATTAATTTCTCAGAATAAACAGATAATTTGGGGAAGACGTAGATGAAAACTTCAGAACTATGTAGAGACAGTAATAATAATAATTAATTAAAATAATGTGTAGTGTAAGTTAGTTTGAGGAGTGACAACGGACCGTCAAGATTTGTTATGAAAAAATTGATAAAAGTGGGGAGTGGGGAGTGGGAGTGGGGCCCATTTTAGGGAACTGATATTATCGTACTGAAGCCACACACGAAGCGTATGAGTGTTACAGTGGGACCCACCGCAGCGGCAGGCAGCCACCAATGTTTTAATCACCGAAATGACCAAAATGACCTGAATTTCGACCGACTATTTTGGCAACTCGGGTACCCCTGTGACTTCTCTTTCATTTCCCAATTCCATCCATTAGATTTATTATACCCTTCCTCTCGTTCTCACACGACTGTCCTTCAGTTCAAACTTCCCTCGCTCCCTCATAGATGCATAACATTATATTATAAATACAAAAGCAATTATAGCTCAGCGATGATTGACATGTACCGTTTCTGATCAAGAGGTCATCTGGTTTTGAGTTCGAATTTCCCACATCCACTTGTTGTATTTGATAAAGAAAAAAGTTAAAATACTATTTTAGTCACTATACTTTCAGTTTTAGTTCATTTTAATCCTTATACTTTGAAAGTGTTCATTTTTGTTTTTTATTTTAAATTTCAATTCATTTTAGTCCATGTACTTTGAATATGTTCATTTTGGTTCATGTACTTTCAAAACGTGATAATTTTAGTTCCTCTTTGCAAAATTTTAACACAAAAATTTTACATATAATGGAAACTCTTTAGTATAAAGTGATGTTTATATTTTAAGAAATATATTGATTTTAGTATCGTGTTGAAATTGTGATTAAACAAAATGAAATTAAGAATAAAATTAAGAGACCAAAATAGTCATTTTTTAAACGTACAGGGATCAAAATGAACATTTTGAAAATAGATGGACTAAAATAAACCAAAATTGAAAGTACAGGGACCAGAACGAACATTTTGAAAGAATAGGAACCAAAATGAACAAAGCTAAAACTACAAGGACCAAATTAGTTTTTAATTAAAAAAAATACTAATTTCCCTCTCTATTTTTTATATTTGTTGTTCATTTTAGTCCCTTTTTTTATCTATTTTTTTAATCACAAGCATCAAACAACACTCGAAAAGTAGCCCTAATAAATTTTAATTAT